TGATGTACCTGGCCAATAATGTCCAAACCAATAATGCGCACACACTTGCCAAAAAATATAAACTTGTCATATCAGCATTATTTATGTTAAATGCTTTTATTTTGTGAGAAAATTGACATGTCCAAACTGGCTCAAAGTTGATGATCGAAGAGGAAATTATTTTCTCTTGTCAAAAACTGTCTTCCTGCCAAACCTAGATTCTTTGGTACATGTAAATAATTTCTTCTTCAAAGTGCAGCCAAACCTAGACACAATTTGCAAGGTTAGTGGGTTAAGTGACGGCAGGGCACACGTATATGCCTTAATAGGCATTCGCTACATGGAGAGGCTGCACCTGCACTTGTGCCTCTTCAAAGGGAGAGATGTCGAGTTGCCGAATGACCAACTGAACTACTAATATTTCCTGTGACTCTCTGGTCACATGAGATTCCTGTGAAATTTGAATATATCAGTGTTTAAAATCAAACACCAGTTGATAACATCAATGTTTTTAATTTACATTTTATTGAGGGGTTTCAGGATTATCCTACGATAATAATTGTTCAATGGGATTTTAGTGGTTTATTAATGAACATGACCTAAAATCTCGGTTAATCAAGGATGATTGCTCCTTGGTGGAGGCATTTATGTCATGCTCATTTTTTGGATTTTGAGAGAAAATATTATTTAATGAGATTTTGGTTCCTATTAATAGAGATACCTATATTCCTTTTTTTTTAAGAATCATGTGGGGTAAGTGATACCCTCCTTGAGTAAGTAACTCTCATATAAGAAAAAAAAGTTATTAACAATTGATAAGATAAAATTATTCATTTTAATAATAGTTTTTTATGATTTAAATAGTTATAATCTTATTTAACTGAAAATTGAAAAATAAAAAAAAAACATAAATAAATAATTTTCATAAAATTGAACAGAACCTTATGATTTAACCTTTGTTATGCAGCTTTTTTGTTTCGCCTATTCCTCTTTCATTTCACTGAACTAGAGAATAACTATTCCTTTTTTTTTTTATTATTTTAAAGTTTAAAATAATAGGAGTTGCTGCACATGTATGTGAGGTGCCGTGTGAAGTATATGATGCATAACACCGTGATAGGAAGTGAACCCCCAGCATATACTAACTAAGCCGAGTGCAAGAGATCAGGACTCGAAATAGATCTTACAAAATTCTGTGTTGAAATCCTAAGTAGAATTAGGGTGATTAATCGAAAAGGCCAAATTCAGCGCAATGCCGACTGGACCACAGTGATAATTTGCAAATTGTGAGTTGTGACCTCATCGAACTAACTTTACAGGTAAATTAATAAACCACTATGAGATTTATCATTACAAGGACCATGGCAACATGGGTTTTCAAATAGGGCATATTCTTTTTTCTAAGGAAAAGTAGAGGGAGAACATTCTTTTGAGACACATGCTCTTATTACTTCAAAGAAAAGAAAGAAGGTTGAGCGCACGAAGAACGAATCTTCTTTTTTGTGTTTTTGGTTTATTTATTTATTTTTCCTTTGGATGAGGGCTATGACCATCATGTATTATAATAACCCACGTGGAGTTTGGATAGTAAAAGTGAGACAGGTTGTGTGCTGAAAGCATAGCATCCAGCCTTATATCCACACCATTTGGGCATGAATTTATTAATTTAACATATAAATTCATGCCCAAAATGGTGAACGCGATGGAACTCCATCGTTGGTTCTATAGCTGAACAGCTATCGCATTCAACTAATTCCGTATGTAATACCCTTTTGCTTAATTAAGCGGATCTAAGGGCTTGAAGGGTAGGTTATTATATTAAATATATGAGCATGTGCTATGAATGTTTGTAGACCCCACCCAAGAAGTTTTGGATAAAAGTGGAAGTTAGATACTTATGACATGTAATGAAACTAGTACAACGAATGGTTCATCAAACTTTCATATTACTATAGTAATCGGATCATTGGAGTGGACTATCCTTTATTCAATGGGACCTTACGGTAAATACTGCTGAGGACAATCGGTCATGCTGGATGTTCCTTATAAAGCATCGAAAATTTTGAACAAAAAAATATGGTAATTGAATCGATCGATTTGGTTTTATTTGATATTTTTGAAAAATTAAAGAATCGGTTTTGTTTTTGGTTAATCTAGAAAAAAATCGATGGTTAATTAAATTGACCAGTATATATTTATATTATATAGTGTCATTTATTATCCATATATTATATATAAATATATGCATTATTATATATATTATATTTATAATTATCTATTGATAATATCATTTTATTATTTACAATAAAATATTATATACATTTATGTATTTATTTATTATATGTATTATAAATGTAAAAATTCAAAAAACCGAAGAACCAAATTAGTAAACTGATTAATCGGTGGTACTGGTTTGAGGAATTGCAAAAACTGGTATTACCAGTTTAATTTCAAAAAATAGATCATGATTTGATTAACAGAATCATGAGCACATTTATGTGTTTTTTTTTTTTTTTCATTGGACTAGCCCATTTCTCAATAACCATACACATAACCCCCTAGCCCTGCTGGTAGAAAATATTTGATCTGGAATCTCTATTGGACGAATCCCGACTTGCTCCTCACAGAGCATGCCTCACACGTAGGGTGCAATTTGGCTGGGTGGGATGGGTGGTCAATCTACGCCCAACCGTAAAGGTGCAAAACTGCGAATCTCAGGTTTGGGTTTGACCTAACCCAAAGTTAAGCCCAAATTTATCAATCCAGACCCAAGCCATAGCCCAAAATTAAACTTAAGCCTAACCTATGCAAAACTTGAATTGAATCGAWTCTGATCGGATTGGACTTGTCAAAGTTGCACCCCTACTCACACCAACGTAATATTACATCGTTGCCCTACTGTCGTGTTGTATGAAGCGTACGCTCTGTGAGAAGCAAATCTGATATCAATTGAATTACCCATCAGTAAACATTCAACAAATTAAAAGCAAAGTTTTTAATTAATTAATTTTTTTTTGACAAAAGAACAAAACACTAAGAAAGGAGCTAAAATTATCTCCATGCTGTGTTATTTGGGAAAAAGTATTCCCATACCAGGGTGGTGAAACAGTAAATTGCAAATCTCCATACCTATTACCGATAAAATGCTACCAGCTTTGAATGTCATCTATGGCTGCACATATTAAACATGAATTCCCCCTAAAAAGGGGTGGTAATGGTTGGATTTGGCATAAGTATGGCTCGGTCCATATCTAATCCGGTTCAACATCCAATTTGCAAACGTATTGGCAGAGTCAATCGGCCCAATCCGTCCGGTTTTCTAAATCATAGCCGGTCCATACCTGATCAAATGATTTAGCAGTCCGAACAAGTTCGACCAATTAATTTATAGAGGTGTTAGTCAATGGATCCTTTTGGATGGATGGTAATAATTAAAATAGCTAGTCACCAGTAGAACTGTTCATGGGCCGGGCCAGCCTTTCACTTGTCACTAATAGATCTATTCATGGGCCGGGCCGAGCCAGGCTCGGGCCGGGCTTTTACTCTTTATAAACAAAAAAATGTTAGGCCCGGCCCGACCAACGGGCCTACAACTTCGGCCCGAGCCCAGCCCTGATAAAAAGCCCGACCTAATAAAAGAAATTTGAATTTTTCCCTATTCAAATGAGTATTATCTATTTTAATTCAGATGTTTTTTCCCCTATTTAAATGAACAATGGGCCTACAAGTGAATCAACAACTTTCTTAAATCAAAAAATTTATTCAATGGACATCACATAGGGTTTTTACTTAGGTTTAACTATAGGTCGGGCCGGGTCGGGCTCGGGCCGGGCTATTTTGGCAAAGCCCGAGCCCGGCTCGAATTTTATGCGGGCCGGGCTTTTTGGCCCGAGGTTAAGCCCGCGGGCMAAAAAGCCTGTTCAAGCCTGTCCGGGGGCCGGGCCGGCCCGTCAGGCCACCCGACCCATGAACAAGTCTAGTCACTAATGAAAATATACTAGGCCCGAGCCTGAGCCCGAGCCCGGCCCGACAACGGGCCTATAACTTGGGCCCGAGCCCGGCCCTGGTAAAAAGCCCGAAACCCGAGCCCGAGCCCGAAGCCTGACCTAATTGAAAAAAAAACAATTTTCCCAATTCAAATTAGAATTAAAAATTCAAATAGTATTTTTTTTTCTATTTAAATGAACAATGGACCTACAAGATGGTATTTTTCTCTTTCTTTTATATTTTAAAACACAAATTTACATTCTTAAATCAAAAAAATTATTCAAATGGACAAAATCACATAACTAATTTTAAGTTTAATATTAGGTCGGGCCGAGCTATTTTGACAAAACTCGAACCCGGCTCGAATTTATTGCGGGCCGAACTTTTTGGCCCAAATTTAAGCTCGTGGGCCTATAAACATGTTCAAGCCCGTCCGGGGATCGGGCCGGCCCGTTGAGCCACCCGGCCCATCACCAGGGGAAAGAATCACTCATATTATGTATCAAATGAACCATAGAAACAAAGTAAGGTATAGGCTAGGCGTTGAACGTTCCAAGATGACGTCCCTTATCTTATGATCAGAATCTCAACTCAAGGATGAAATTACATTCTTGGGATGATAATAATATTGATGGAGGGTCATGCAATGCAAATATGAATGCATGTGTCTGTCCAAAATCCAAATGGCGTTAGTTTATCCCCACTCCCCACCTATATTGTATTTGTTCCCCTCATGCGTAATGTACATCTCATTTGCTGAAGATTGCCAATTGTCTTCTTTTCCAATTTCTTTTCTTAATCGCTCTGTTCTTATCACAAGTTTCCTTTAACCTGGTTAACAATAATCTCTCTCTTCTCTCGTGTAATCGTATATATATACATGCATCGTTATATAGATAGAACAAAGAGAAAAGGAACCTTCTTGATTCAATTTTTTTAAAAGATAAAATCATCGTAGCTTTGTCACCATGCTTCGTTTACAGCAGGAGAGGACACCATTAAAACGACACACCCTAAGATCCGCACGCACCAAATGCTCCAAATCCAACTTTACTCGATTCATCCAAAAAAGAAAAAAAAAAAAAACCTACTTAGTACTTATTCGGACATATTATTTAATTTGGGTAGCCTCGGGTCCAGCCCATTGCTCCATTATTCAGATCATGGGTTCGGCATTGACCCTATCCCCATCACCCATATTTATAGTCTACCAAGTACCGACATCAGAAAAGAAAAATATAGAAGAAAGGAAATAGTTTTTAGGGGAAACTTCAAACTTATTAATTAATCAGCAACGGTCCAGGTCATATCGTTCTCGAAGATCCAATGACAGACCTCTATCTTCCCAGGGCTCGACCCCAGGGAGATAAAGGCTCCATGTCCTGGGCTCCAAGCTGACGTGTCAATGTGACAGATGGCAACTCCGTTGTTGATCTTGGCCTTGCTATTGGCGTCAAGTATGTCAGCCTCGTAAACCCGAACTTTAGGAACAGAGTGACAGTAATAGACCAGGTAAGGAAACAGGCTCTGATGACACGACACTGATTTGGTCACTCGTCCACCGTTGATCCCTTTCACTGCTCCGATCATTACGTTTTTCGTCGACCCATTCACGTTTTCCGTACTCCTAACCACCACATTGTGGCCCAAAACCGACACAGCGAAGTCGATCATGCCTTCGAGCGAGCCCACGCATTTCTTGGTCTCGCCCCTGCTCGGAGCCCTCTCGCACTCCTCCAGCGTGTTCTGCAGAACTCTCTCCATTGTTGAGTTCTCAGCGGCGTGGAAGATCTGTTTCAGCTCCGAAATGCGAGAGCTCGAGAATGGCAATTTGGACGTAATGGAACGGGGCAAGAATGATCTTGGGGGCATCTTGTCTCTGATGTCCGGCATCGGCATGACTATGCCCTCCTTGAGCATCGACTCGCGAAAGAATTTACCAGGTTCCGCCAACCATTTGTTCGTGGGTTTCTTACTTCCCACCAAGGAAGAAGTGGCTTTCGCAGAGCTTGGGTTTGTGTAAGCGGCGAAACTGATTGCCTTCTTGTTATCGTAGTCCTTGAATGTGTTGTTGACGCCGTACGTCTTGAAGCCTATCGCCTGACCCACTGCTCCCTTTCCATAGCCCTTGAACGTATCGCTACCCTCATTGAAAGATTTTCCGTAATTAGCAAAATTGACCTTGGCTGAGTTCGAATTCTTGGCGTAAGATTGGAAGGAGTCGTCACCCACATTTGATTGATCTCTGTAAGTGGAGAAACTATCGACCCCGGCGTTTCCACCGTCGCCGTAGCTAACGAATTTGTTCTCAGGTACGTTGCCGTTCACACCGTAAGAAGTGAACGAGTCATTTGCGCCATTACCCTCCTCGCCATAGGCCTTAAAGGACGACCCCATGACGTTAGAGTCCTTGCCGTAGCTCTTGAACTCGAGTGGCAGACCGTTGCCGTTGTTTCCGTAGCTGGAGAACGATTCGTCCCCTGCGTTTGCCTCGTCCGTATAGCTTGAGAAGGATTGTTCGCGGCCGTTAGCATCTGATTCATACGTAGAGAACCGGAGGTTCGGGACGTTCACTCCTTCGTTCATGTAGTTTTTGAACTCACCCGTACCACCGGTGGCGCTAACGCCGTAGGTGTTGAAATCCTGTTCGATGACGTTGTTGTTAGGGGCATAATTTGCAAACTTGTCGTCGTGGCCGGCAGAGTCTCGGCTGTAGCGCCTGAACGAGTCTATGGGCCCTCCGAAGTTATCCGAATAGTTCTTGAATGAGTCCATCCCGCCGGCACGAGAAGTTCCATAGTTAGTGAAGTTGATATTCGAATAGGAAGCGAAGTTGGCATCTTTGTCATGCTTCTCCAAGCTCGGAGATATATCAGGGAAGCAAAACATATTGGCAGAGGAACAGAAGGAGGAAAAGTGAGAAGAAAGAGCATTTTGGTCGGCGAGTTTGGTGAGAAGTGCCGAGTCGACGGCGTTTAATGGAGAGGCCTTGGAAACAAGGAAAGATGGTTTGGGTAGATTGTTGGATACTTGTTTTCTCCAGTAACGGATGACGAAAGCTTTAGCCGTAAATGGGTTTTCTCCGGCCGAAGACTTGCCGGAATTTTGACCGCTTTCGGCGAAACAAACCTGCATTGATGCACAATAAGCTTTGGTAAGCCAGGAGGCGCAATATAAATAAAAGAAGTAGAAGAAGAAGAAGAAGAAGAAGAAAAATAAAAGATGAGTGATCGATTCTCACATTGCAAGATGAAAGAGCCAGGAAGAGAAAAAAGAAGGAAATTAGAGTACTAATAAGCCTGAAATGTCTATACATTGTTTTTTTTCCCTCTCTTTCTCTCAAGTAGTTGAGAAAAGAAAAGAAAGAGATGAGAAGGTTGGTAGGTTCTTTGGAGGTGGTGGAGATATAAATAGGTGGTGGCTGTGTAAAGTTCTGAAACTACAAGGAGAAGTAAAACTCAGTTTTTGTTTTCACTTTCAAGTTTAAAATGAAGGGTTTTGCTTTAGAACGGCAAATTCAGCAGTAGAAGATAAGATGGAGGGAGAATGTTGATTAGTTAGAGATGGCAACGGTGGATGTCCGAATTTCAGATCTATGTAAAAGCTCTACGGCTCGCTCAGAACAAGCAGTCTGCGTTTGAGTGGAGTGGTTCGCCCGAAGTTTTTGTGTGACATCTTCACTGTCAAGCTTGTTCTTTATTTACATCTCTGGTTGAAGAATCAAAAAGGTTCACCGCTGCTCGATCTCCTTTTGCACTCTCTGAGCCCTTGATTGTACGTGATTATATATTGGATTAAACTTAATGTTTTCTTAATTCAAACCAACTGATGGTGTCTTAACTCTTAATTGGTGGGATCTCTTAGCCGAAAATCAGGATCAAATCACGTTTACTAAAACTTTTGCTTTTGTGTTTTGGATCTTTTTTTTCTCTTTCTCCAGTGGAGCCGTAGCCGTAGGGTCTTCTTGTGGTCCTAACCCAAAAATAACTATTACGGTAAAACATTTTTTAGGTAAAGTATAAAAACCTCCCTGAATTTTTTTACAATCCTATAAACCTCCCATGCCTTGCCTTGCATCGACAAAAACCTCTCTCATATGTTTTGCAAATACATCCCTTCCGTAAATTTTCCAGAAGAAAAATGTTGATTAATGCTTTAAAATTTTAAATAACAAAGTTATCCTCAACCGATATTAATATGCACATTTACTGAGGCTATGTTTGGTTTGCAGGAAAAGGTAGGGAAATTTATACAAGGTTTGTAAAAATTTCCCTTCCTTCCCTACTTTTTCCTTCAAACCAAACACATCGGATTACCCAAAAGAAGCTTAAGGGAGGATTTTATATTTTACCAATTTTTTATTGTTTAGATGGATTTTTCCTTATTTAGAAGGACCACCAAATAGTTAAAATTTAAGAGTACTTAAGAGAACTACTAACACACGGCAGTAACAGGCACATGTGGTCCAACAAACTGATCCAATCCATTTTCTAGTCGAAATCAATCAATAAAGTCTCCCATTCACCCGACCTGATGGAGCACGAACTGGATGCTGCCTTTTGGAGGATGATTGGAACTTCGCTCTGTGACAAGCTGATTATTCTACAAAACAATGAGTTTAGAGAACCTGGGGTGGTTAATTCGGCGAGATCGTTTTGATGCTTAAGTTAGTATTCTTGTAGTAGACTGTGAGTTGAAATTAGATAGAGTGCTAGTGTGTAGATGATATTAGGCATACGTGAGCCCCGGAGGGGTTGCTGCCTTTATATACAAAGTTGCCATGAACCTCACAGAACAGTTCTGGGATCTTTGGCCTGGAAGGATGAGGTTTGTTCCCGTTTTATCCGGAGGGTATTGTGCCAGTTTACGATCCATATCGTTACCACTTAATCCGAATGGAGAGAGGATAAGGTCTACCGTCGTGCGGCGTGATCCTGTGGGGTTCGGAGTCGCCTAGGGCCAATTATGTGTCACTTTGGCTCCTATGTCACAAACTGGTCAGTACGCCAAGGTGACCTGATTCCAAGGTGGCTACATACTGAGGTAGCTTTGTGCCGAGGTGATCGATCACCGAGCCCCCAACTTGCTGATGAGTCTCTCCTCGCTGAGTTGTGGCTTTGTTGGTGGATCGTATCCATGTGTCCCCCCTTGCTAGGTCGGGTCAAATCACCCTTCATCAATTACCCCCACTCCCCGTGCTAGGGGTCTCGACCTGGTACGGGGAGTTCATGACAAGCCCAGGTGGATTTGGCACGATGACCAAGTGACAAGGGGGTGGTTCTATTGATCGTCCGGCTCGACCAGGGAATGACCTAGATCGTGTGTCGGCTATGCGCGGATGTCACACTATTTATAAACTCCGCGGGCGTCAAAGAACACGCTCAACCGATTTCGTACTCGGGTAGCAAGCAACCAGTTTCCATGGGAGTCGTCGGATCGCGCAGATAACAACCGTTGATTGTCGAATGTGGTGGATTATAAATAGGGGTCAAAGGGCCATCTTCCTCGCCATAAATTTTGTGACTAAGCTTTCTTGAGTTCGCGTCGAAGTTCTTCAGCTTGCCATTCTCTCCTCTTGTGTCCGAGGTCGTTTCCGCTTTATTTGGTGAGTTTGCCTTCTTGCGTTAGTTGTCCCTTTTTCTTTTTTCTTTTTTTTTTGTCCAATATGTCTAGTCTTAGCACAAATAAGCTCCTTAGAGATTCTAGTGAGCCCGAGGGTGCCGGGATGCAGTCCTCAACACCTGCTGGTGAGGCTAGCTCTTCGTCGGAAAGTTCCTCCTTGAATTTTTCAGGGAAAGTGTCTTTACCCGGAGTCGGACCAGCTCGGTTTGAGGGGCCCGATCCTCATGCAGAGCGGCCGACCTCCGGGGAGGGGGTCTCGTCTTCTACTCGAGGTTGGGACCCAGACAACTTCAATCCTTCCACGATGACCTCGGACAGGTTACTGTCCTTAATAGCTCGTTACCGTCTCCCCGACACCCTTGTCTTCAGTATTCCCTTGGGTCAATACCCTTGGGATCATGACTGATGAGGTGTAATTTGGCACGACCTAGTAAGTAAAGGTCACCTGGACACAATCTGCCTATAGAACGACAACTCAGCAAGGGGAGCCTAGTCAGCAGTTTTTAGAGTTCGAATGTTTGGCCACCTCAGCATAAAGTCACCTCGGCATAAAGGTACATCGATGCCTAAGCCAGTTCAGGGCCCAGGAACCGAAGTGACATATAATCAACTCCAAAAGCTTCCTAGTAGACTCCGAACATCATGGGATCACGCCACATAATAGTAGGCCTTATCCTCTCCCTACCCGGATCGAGCGGCAACGATAAACTTCATTGATTGATACGTTACTCCCCGACTAAAGCGGAAATGGATCTCACCCAACTCAGCGAAGATCCCAGAACCGTTTCGCGAGATCCATGATAGCTCAGCTAAGTAAGGGAATCAACCCCTCCAGGGTCCAAATACACGCGATTACTCACATTCAAGCTCTCTAGCATCCATACTAGCTCGCAAACACACAGAATACTAACTTAAGCATCGGAGTGACCTCACTGGGTCTTCCACCCCAGTCCCTCTGAGCATTGTTTTGCATATTGATCCAAGTAGCCACGCAAGTACGTCCAAGAAGTTCTCTAGCAAGGAGCTTCCAGATCACACATCATCAATGACTATTATGAGGTCGCAGTTTTTGAGGAACAGCTCGTAGCTGGGCTGCGCTTCCCGCTCCACCCCTTCATCATAGAAATTATTAAGTTCTTTAACATCACCATCGATCAGCTTCACCCAAACTCCATCTGTACTATTGTTGGTATGATCTCACTCTTCCACGAGTATAACCGACCTCTCTCTAAATACCTTTAGTTCGTACTAAGCTCCTATGTCACGAACTGGTCGGGACACCAAGGTGACCTGATTCCAAGGCGGCTACATACCATAATAGCTTTGCATCAAGGTGACCAATCACTAAGCTCCTGACCTGCTGAAAAGTCTCTCTTCATTGAGTTGTGGCTTTGCTGAAGAATCGAATCCACGTGTCCCCCCTTGCTAAATCGGGTCAAATCATCCTTCATCACGATCCATTACTCTTAGAATAAGGCGATCAGAATGTGAATGAATTTGTCATTAAAAATTTGAAGATTGTGGCGTGTTTTTTCCCAACTGTGGCTCTGCGAGTGGTGATGAGCAGGAGTGGTGATCACCGAGTGGATGTTGTGAATGATCATCGTCACGTTATCGTCATAATGAGCATCACACATGGATATCGTCGACCTTGTGTAGGGTCCAGTCCATTGGATTTGAGGAATAAATGGTGGTGGTGGTGGTCCATATATACATTACATGGTGGTGGATTTTGAGGAATAAATGGTCGTGGACCATCATCTTACACACATGACACAACCGGGGTTGCCCATTCCCATTCCCATCCCCAAACCCATAAGGCCATGGCCCCCCACCCCTAGTTGAGGACGGGATTGATCCCAAATCATCGTTACAATCATATGATCGATCCATACTCTCTTTAATTGATGTATTCATTGGCCCCTGAAAATATCAGTGATGTTCTTTTTTTGGATTTTGAGAAGAGGAAAAGTTGGTCAATGAGATTTTGGTTACTATTGATCAAGAATTTCATGTTCATTTTTCAGACTAATGTGGGCACCAGGGAAAGTTTATTTTTCTGGGTGATACCCATCTCCTAGGTGGGTAATAACTTTTCCACTTAGAAAGAAAATTGCTAACATTTGAATGGGACAAAAATGCCCCTTTTAATAATGGATTTTTATAACTAAAATGGCCATTTCCCTTATTTACCTGAGAAATAAAAGAACATGGGTAAATAACTTATCATAAAGCGAATGAGGCTTTAATCCTTATAACTAAAGCTTCTGCATCGGAAAGTATGCATACTACTGAACGGGTGCCTGACTAATTAAGGAGCATGAAGAAGAAGAGCCCATATCATGGCTCAAAGTTGCTGGGCCAACAGCTCTAATTCTCTTACCCACAGCCTCAATCAGATCAGATCTGATTTGAATTCAAATTCGATCTGATAAGAGCCAGATTTGAATACCTACCATTGATTCTAATAAATCTGATCGGATTGGATTGATTCGTTTAACGAGATATATCCCGATCCTCGATCCATTAGTAATGAAATATTATATATTATAAATTATAATATATTATTATATTATATCAAAAACTTTTTATTACAATTCTAATTGAATCGGATATCGGATAAGATATTCGAATTTGAATCGTATTCTTAAAAATCCAATGAATTCTTATGGGATTCGGATCATATATACCCTCTACCAAATTCGATCCAATCCATTTGGTAATAAATTCCGGCCTTACCACTGGCTTGTGGGCAGAAAAGACCCATCAATAGAGATAGGGATAGAAAAGGAGCATACTTAAATAATTAGGTAAATTATGTGGTACCAAGTGATTGAGTGTGTGCACTAGGATGCAATAATCACTTCCTCTACAGCCGTCTGATAACAAAGCTAGTTATGGAAATCTAGGGTTTCTTCGCTAGAGGCGCTCTCAAAGGGATTTCGTTGGGGGCGGCTCCCTTCAGGATCCCTTGAAGGAAGCCGCCCATCTAGGCTCTCCTTCACCTTCCTCCTTCTGCTTTTTCTCTCTCTTATCTGTCTTTTTGTTTTGAGAGAGCCTTCCTTTCAAGTTTTCTTAAGGTTTTTCTCTTGAGTTTTCTCTATTCGTGGTTTGATTTT